CAGAAGAGGAAGACCGATATGACCGTCATCGCGACAGTCCACTTTCCGCCGCCAGCGGTACGCGTCACATACTGCGGTTTCGCCTTGGCTAAGGAGACAGGACTGTTAGCACATGACCATTCTGCCAATCATTCCCGCCACGTTGAAAGGCAGCGGCACTGGAAAAAGGCCTGTAGTCAGGAAATTGGCAACTTACGAAAGGCATCGAAAGCGCTGACAATGTTGCCCTTCGCCCCGAAGGCGTCGTCGTCCAGGTGCTGCTTCTCGTCCCAGCCGTTCATCATGACGGTCTCAAATGACGTAAATCGAAAGATAGTTTATAGCCAGTAATTTAACCAGCAAAGAGAGGTTATTAAGCCTTCGCCTGTTCGTGGTCGGGCACTCGAGTTCGTCGCTGATGAATGTGGTCGCGAAGCCAGTGACGGTTTCTCGATGCGAATCCTTTCGGCGTGCTGCAAATGCTCGCCGTCAAAACTTAGTTCCGCTACCGCATGCCTTGTTTTCCAGAATCGCAAGTTTGAAAGAAAGTCGTCAAGGTCGAAAAGGAACGAGATTGTCGAGAATTGGCTTCGCGCACGCTGGTCAGACCTCTCGGCGCAACTCGTGAAGTGGGAGAGCCTGCTGCAGAAAGTCTTAAGGACACTCTATCCAAAAGTTGTCCGCAGTTCGGGCCCCCTGTCCAGGGGTCCTAGAATGATTGGTGCTGGTAATAGCGCTGGTGGGCTGGGAGGGGCGTGTGCATGGGAGCTTGTAACAGGGGTGCGATTACTTGCACGTGCGGAGACATTAAACTAAATAGCGGGCAAGACGAACGAACTGGTTATGATAATAGGCACATCTCCATTTACTTGGTTCACCGATGATTCTTGAAGCAATGTCTTGTTCGGAAAAGCTGTTAAAGCTACGGTTCATTGCGTCCTAAAACCTACAAGTACCAATCTGTAATCTGTCATGAAGAATCATGAAACGAGCGTCGCCTCGACCTAACCTGAAAGATGAGGTGCCGGTAGCTCGCGTTTTCCGCTGTTGAGAAGGCTTGCGGGCTTTGCTTGTGCCACCTCCAGCTACCGGCTCGCTCTCCTAAAACCAGGTTCCAAATGAAATCAAATAACCCCGGGCCTGATGAAATGAGACATGCAAGGAAACCCAAACCCCCAAGTACACCACCGATCACTCCTATTCCAGTGGTAAAGCGAAACTAGAAAGACCTCAGACACCTTACTTTCTGAGTCTCCGCTGCTGCTCCTCGAGGAACTCCTCGTCGGAGGCATCCAGGATATCGTACTCCTCGTCGGTCATGAAGCCGTCGTCAGAAGCATCCCAGTCCTCTTGCTCGCCGCAGTCCTCAAACTCCTCGGCCTCTGAGCTGGTCGCGTGAGCAGACTCGGCCTTGACCTCCTGGTGGATGCTAGAGACCGGGGATTCCTTCTCGAGCTTGGGGAAAATCATGGTGCTGCTCTGCATCTCAGTGGGGATCTCCTTGGGCTCTTGCTTGAGCTCCTTAGGGGTTGGCTGAGTGGTCTGGACGCTGACGTCGCACCAGAGTCTGTGACCGAACTTCAAACCATCCTTGGTCGTCAGGCGCCAGTAAGAAATGATCTTGCCCTCGCGCGCAGGTGTACGGAGGAGAACGTTGAAAGAGAACTCCTGGCCAGGGGCGAGCGGTGCATAGCAGACAGTCGACTCTGAGGCAGAAACGAGCTCGGAGATACCAGCCGGGTGGTTGGAGTCAACGTGGCCCATGTAGTCGCCACCAACAAACTTGACTGAACATCCGGCAGGCCATGCAACATCACCGTCGTTGCGGAGGACCCATGTCTGCTCAAAGACGTGGTTTGGCGGCAGAAGAGTGCCATCAGCGACAGTGTCGCGGACAAAGACAGCCTGAAGATCCTGCTCGGAGACGGGCTTCTCAACAATCGGAACCGTCTTCTCCTCGACCACCTCCTTCTTGACTTCAGCCTTGGGGGTCTCCTCAACAACCTCCTCCTTGATAATAGGCTTAGCCTCGGGCTCAGGAGTCTTCTCGACAACCTCTTCCTTGACAGCCGGCTCTGTGGGCTTCACATCCACAACAGTCTGGGGCACGTTAATGGAAGCGTTTGCCGTAGTCTCGGTAGAACGAGAGCTAGTGCGGCGAAGTCTACGGTCGCCCATCTGCTGCATACGCTGTCCATCTCCGCGCTCGCCAGTGGTGGTAACAGTGACGTGACGGACTGGCGTCTTGAACTTGACAAGGGGATGGGTCTTGTTGTGGGTGTTAGCAGGGCTAGCCTCACAGTTGGCACAGAAATCAGTATCGTGGCAAACGGTGCACTTGTATCGAACGCCAGAGATGTAAGCGGGTGCGTTGTGAGTGCGGGCGCACAGGGGTCCATCGCAGCAGATACCAAAGTGCACAGAGCGGCTGACGGCACGGCTGCGGACTTCCTCGAGAGGCTCGTAGATGGGAACGAAGCGGTGGTTAGGGTGAACAAACTTGGAGTTCACGATGCAGTCAGCGCAGTAGTCCCAGTCGGGGCAATCGAGGCACTTGTGGCGAACACCAGCAATGTACTTGTCGCAGCCGTCGCAAATGGCATTGTGACTCTGGTTGCGGCCAGGAGCCAGCTTGATCTGAATGTGGCTGGGAACGTGAGCACCCTCGACGGCGGGGATGAAGGAGTGCTTGGGGTTGTGGCCATGGGAGTCCTTCTCGAAGCATGCGTGGCACAAGTCGAAATCCTCGCAAGCTGCGCAGTGGAGGAAGCTAGACTCCGGGAGCTCCGTCACGCAGCAATTGCAGGTGCGCATGCTGTACAGCGCAGTGTTGAAGACTGGACGAAGGAGCTCACTGATGTTGGCGGGTGCCCTAGAAGGCTCTGGGATCGTCTCCTCGACATTGGCCTTGGGCTTGGGTGCAATCGTCTCTGTAGTGCTGTTGATGATTTGACCATTCTTGACGATCCTCTTGATGAGCCAGTGGTCAGCTCCGTAGCATGTGATACCCTGGTCAACGCAGTTTTGGCAAAGATCGAAATCACCATCATCGCATGTGGAGCAGTGGTAGTGAGCTTCGGGAACTGTTTGGTCGCAGCTATTGCAGCACACGGCGAAGTTGGTGTTGGGGTGCATCAATGCGGGGCAGCGGCCCCAAGAAGCTCGTGATGGAGTCTCAGTGGCGGCAGCATTAGCGAACCACTGGTCGCGAGCCGTGATACCCTCAGAAACGGGAATATCTGCAGAAGCGGCAGGCACCTCCTCGTCGTTAATCTTGGCGTGTCTTCTCAGCAGAGATGCGAGGATGGAGGCCTCGAAGTCAAGGCCGGTGTCGCTTGTAGGCAATTCCTTCTTGGTCTCATTGTCGATGACGCTAGATTGCCTCAAATCAACGAGGGGTTGCGTTACAACGTCTTCCGGCTTCTGCTCATGCGCCTCCTTCACAGCGAGAGGAGTGCTGGACTCCGGCACATCCTCCACTGATACTGGTCTGGGGGACATCTTCTCCTCGGACAACTTGGTGACACGAAGCTTGAGTTTTTGCTTGGCCTTGGCAGCTCTGTAAAGCTGCTTGTAGACTGAGACGTTCTGTTTATCGAGTGTGATGTACGAACCAGCCGAGTCGGAATACCTCTCAAGAGTAACGTTGGCATCAGAGGTAACGCCCAAAAGAGCTCTCACCTACAAGAAGCTAAATTAGCGTGTGATTTCAAGGATGAGCCTCAGACGCCTCATGGCCAAGATACCGGTGTCGCCATCTCACTTAACATTGGAACTCCCGATTCAACGTTGATGTGGCGCGGCAATCTGACCAAGGGCGGAAAGAGTGTAATGACGTACCTTATCTTCAAGAGTGCTGGGTCCCATGTCGCGCAGCGGGAGTTTGTGGCGGCGAGTCATGCCGTCGAAGTTGATCTTCAGGGTGACCTGAGTGTCTGGCGTTGTTGCTGATGAGGACGCCATTTTGAAGGATGGAAAGTAGACTCCGGGTATGGATGAAGAGGGAACTCGCGGTCGGCCGGGCGGGGAAGGGACGACGGCTCTGGCGGATGTTTCACTGATAGGCGGCCAAGTAGCACGGTGCACGAGGCTCGCTCGGTCGGGGTAGAAGGTGCGTCTTCCTCCTTAGATCGGGGATTCAAGGAATACCGGACGGATACACGGTATGTGTTGATTGTTGTTGATGGTTGATTGAAAGCGCGGAGTCGGTGAGAGGAGGAAAAGAAAAACGGACAAAGCAAGCTGTCCAGGTAGATGGCGAAAGATGGTTGAGAGGGCGAAAGGTCGGGGAGTGGGAAAGATAAGTGAGTTGGAGGATGATGGGGGTCGGCGGTCGGTGGCCGGGTGGAGTAAGAAGGTGAGCAGACGAGGAAGGAGCGACCGGATCAGAGATGGGACACTGGAAACTGGAGTGGGCGGGTGGAGGTGGTGGAGGTGGAGACAGGCTAGGCGGATGATGCGTGTGCGTCTCTGCGTCTCGTTCTCTCTATGGTGGAAGGTCTTGACCCTCGGGAGCTGTGTGTGAGACGGGACTTGTTCAAGTGCGGCAGACAAACAGCTTTGCTCTCCGCAGGTGACTTTGGGGGTCGGGATGGGAGGAATCGTACCAGGGGGACCAGGAGCCACTTATGTACCAAGAGCCAGACGAAAGATGAAGAGGCCGAAACCGTGGTGGCCCGAAAAGGGAATTCGGATGGTGGGAAAGTGAGGGATGGATGGCGAGGGATGGGAAGGGAAGGCGGGCAAGCCGCAAGGCAGGAAAGGCGGTAATAGCGTCAGTCGTCACTCTCGCAACTGCCTTGAGATTCTCACGGTTCACCACTTGTCCCCTGGGGAGTACTCAACAATAAGGCAAGGTACCTTAGCAGCTTAGGTAGACTCTCACGCTCTAACGCTCTCACGCTCTCACCTCACAGCTGTCTCTCACCCACCCGCGGAGAGCATGGCATAGCATGGCATGTCTGATGTCGGTGACGGGGATCCCTCAATGGGGTCATGGACATGACACTGCTGGCCTTCCCCAGGTAAGCTTGGTGCCTTTTCACACCTCAAGAGGCGAGGTACTTGGCTAATGTACAATGGGGAAAGAGAGGGGCAAGGAGACTCTGGAGCAATCTGGTTGGCTGGTTGGCAGTACAAGGTACCTACCTACGAAAAAGGAACGTACCTTTCTGCAGCTGCTTCCGCGCTGTTAGGCCAGAGCGAATGGTGTGAACTTGAAAGATGCAAACTGCTTGTTCCGCTCGCTACCTTATCGAACCTTGCCTCTTGCCTCTCGACTGCCTCAAGGGCCAAGGTATCGGGGGAAGGAGGACTGAGGCGGCTGGGAGTAGGTATACGCTTGCAGAGATAGCCTTTGCTGTGGGAAAGCCGAGACACCGCTAACCAAGACCATGTCAAAGTGTCAAATCCGCGTAGTGGCATTGCGGATAGATGTCCCCAAGGTTCAAACATCCTCCCACCGCTCTGCTTAGCAAGCCTGGCCTCTCGTCGCCATCCATGTTCCGTGGATTGCTATTCGGGAACCACAACTGCTCACATGTCACTGCAGGCAGATACACCAAGACCAGGCAAACCAGTCACTCAGCCAAGCCAGGCAGCCTACGACACCTCAGCTTGCCTCTCTGGCTTCACATTCGTCTACATAGTACACCATCACAGCGGGCCACAGGCGGCAAAAAAGAGAAATCATGACCATGGAAGAAGCTCGAAAGAGGCGGTCAACAGCCACCACCACGAAATAGCGACCCGGCAGCTTACAATGCCATCAATGGAAGCTGCTCCAACCTTCTTTGCCCCAATCCAATTCATTGTCCACAACCATGGCCACGGCCACGTTCACCTCTCGCTGCCTCGACTCCATCTTCGTCTCTAGTGCCGTCCAAGATATTCTTTCCTTGACTGGACGAACCGGTCGAGTCATCAACTTCGCCTTCGCCTCCGTCCTTCGCCCTTTCGCCTTTTCAGTATAGTAGTCGAAGAACCGACGAGGTCTCGGCGCTACCAATCTATCCGCATTTCGATTCCCTTTCGAATCTTTGCCTCATGCTATTTCCCACCCTTCGCCAACCAGGATTCACACCCACTCGCCCCCCGGCAATGAATCTCTCCTTCAACCACGGCGAGCTCCCCTGGCACGCCTGGGCAAAGACGCAATAACCACTGCCCATTGGCACATGACGGGGGACTGCCCTGCAAACACCAGACTCGAAATGAGGCGAACTGGAGCCTCGCCGCAAATTGTTCCTATGTTTACGCACTTCAACTATGCAAAACGTGGACAATAAGCAGTCATAGGGGTTTGGCTTGGTCATCGACCTCTCTTGGGCTCCTTAATCTTCTCACAATTCCTTCTGCTTGAACTCGCATCTGGCGTTCAGACGTGCCATGTCACCATAGTGGCCTGCCCTCTCGACTACCGACAACTGGTCGATCTAGGTCTTCATGCAACGAATCGCGATGCCGGAGCACCAGCTTGCTGCATAGTTGCATAGCCGGTCAGTCGGACAGTCGGTCATCCTCCACTGCGATTCAGTTATAAGACAAGGAATACGACCTCCGACCTGTCCGTCTGCCAGACCCTGTGCCTGGATTGGCCCAGGGTGGTCCAGTGCTATGTTTGCCCAGAAGGCGAGAGTGTCTCGCACCTAGCTATGCCTTTGGCGCAAATACTGTTACGCCGCAGTAGGGAAAGCGAAAAGCTCCAGACAGTCACTGCAGTTGATGCGTTATTCAACGCGTGGTAAACCCCAACCTCATGCAGCTACCGCATCCGATCTTAGCGAGCCCGGCAGCGTGGTCGCTCGAGATCGGAATGGGAGGAGGGGCGGGTCGACCGACGACCACGGGAGAGAGTGTCTGTTCTCTGTCACCTGAGCCTCTATTCCTTACTAGAAGCAGCAATCGCTGCCGCAAGTCGCGCAGCACGCAATCCTTCAGTACCCAGTCTCGCTGGAGTCTCGCTGGGCCTTATCATAGAATGGAGCTGAAGTCGGACAAGACAAAGAGCTGAGATCAAACAGGAAAAATCCGTCGGCGCTTGACTCGTTCACGTGGAGATCCTTTATCTGCCTTGGACCGAGACAGAGCCTCCTCTAATACGAGCTCTCCGTTCAGGCTCAGTAGATCAAACTAGTACTCACCTTTCGATAGTACTGAGGCACGTTGATCCGGCCTTAGTCAGCTAGTAACTAGTCCCCTTCACTTTGGGAGCTCTCCGTCTCCAATTCCTGTCGAAGAGGCTTTCATGTGTGTCTCGGGCCATCAAGATCGACGGATGCCAACCTCGCATCAAACCTTCTCTGACAAGTGTCTGTAGGATGAATTAAGGACGGCTGCTTCATGGCTAGTTTACACAGAAAGGAATAGCCACGGAGACACCCATGGGGGCGAAGTTGGAAATGACAGTTCATTGTCCAGACGGAAATATGCAGCAATGGCGCCGGCGGAGCAACAACAGCGCTCTGACAAAGGCGGGGGAGGCGGGGAAGCTCTCGGTGAGCAAAGCAAGCAGGCAATAAGCAAGCACATATCTCACGGGCTTATTCTGGCCAGTTGGCTGGTCGGTCCTTGGGTCCAGATCGACAGATGGCGGGAATAGCGAACAGTCGAGAAGTCATCCTTCCAGGTCCGAGAGCGCTGCTCGCCTGCCTGCGCCGTCCTCAACAGGCAAAGACGATACAGTTATCGCAACGCTACGCTGCATGTCACCCTTCTAGTGTCCAGCCATCCAGGCTGCTAGTCATGCGAACTCAACCCCCGCCTTTTTCCAAGGTTCTCATCAAAGTTACCAAACCACCGCTGCCGAGGCCCCAGGAAAGGATGCTTTGTTGTCACTCGCATTGCCAGATATTGAATTCATCTGGCAAGCTCGACCTTCAAAGTGTAAAGCAGGACGTGGGAAAGTAAAGTGGACGGTTCAGGGGTCTGTCCCAAGAAGGGCAATCCGGACAATACAAGTTGCTCTCCGGACCCGAAGCTCCATTGCGCCCGGATCGAAGCCGACCACCCGATCTCTCCACCTCGAGGCTCAACCGCTTTACTCCATACACACTGTACTGTGGGAAGACGGTGACTTTTTCCCATCTCATCATCCCTCCCCGCTTCTTGAATCATCCAATGTTCGTTCAAGGCACGAAAGCTACGTCAGGCGAAAAATGCAACGAGAAAAGTGAAAAATTAACAGCCGCACGAGGAAGTTAGGAACTGTCTTTAAGCTTCCATACTCATCCCATCAATCCGCTCTTGGCGCCGCCTTTCATCGACTCATCGAGGACTTTGAAAGTCTAGTGCGGAACATGCTCCCCGTCTACCCCTGAAGAAGGTCGAAGTAAGCTCGAAAGCTCCGTAGGCCTCTCGCCTGCCAAAAGACGGTTCAGAGGCGAAGCAAACAAAGGAAGGGCCCAGAACTCGACAATACGTCATGTTTCCCCCTCTCCCAAGTCGCCTTTGAAATCTCACCACCTTTAACCAACCCAAAGAGACATCTTCCGGTTCTCAAGTGGCTTGTTTCAGGACTGCAGGGCTTGGCGAGGGGGCCGCAGCAACTCGTTCAGACAAGAAAGAAAGATGAAGACTGAGGCAGCGCGAACGCGTGTCTTCCTGTCGTGCCTGCTCTAATACCCGCTCGCTGACCACGATCCTTGGCTGCCTATTAGGTACCCATCTTTCGACTTGTAATCGACAGGGAAAGAATTGCAAGAAGGGCGTTGAGTTTTAGACATTGGCTTATTATTTCCCGCCTGGTTCGCCGCACAGGTTTCGCAAAAGACGCCGGGACGACAAATCATTCCCCCTCACAAAGTGGTACTGGGCCTCATAGGCTCATATTGGACGCTTCTGATAGGGGGTTTACGTGTACACACGTCTCGTATTTTGCATGCATATCCTACCTTGCCTTACGTGCCTACTGTCCGGAAACGTCCGCACTACTTACACGTCGCCAGATACCGAGGCCGACATGCTTTCTGATTTTCCTGGCTATTAATGATTATACATCGTGTCTGTACGAGTGAAGAAAAAGATTGTTGGTGCGGTAGGACAAAATGTTGATCCATTGTGGACATGGGCAATCGATAGATGGCCGGCACGACCGTATCTGCAGTCATCGAGAAGAGGGTCAAAGCTCTTCTGGTAATCCGAAGCTATTGATGGTGATATGATTGCTAAACAGTAGTGATTTTTGTATCGGCGCGTTCATTTCAGAGAATGGGATATTCTGCCACATGGTAACTAGGTGAGAAACAGTGAGAGAGTGTATCAGGACCCATCAAGGCTGCTCGGCCACGCCTAGATACTTGTCATATGGCAATACGCGATTTTTTGTTATCAATGTTCTGGATATCTGGCAGACTCAGGCAAGCTGTCATCAAGTACATGGCCTTGGTCATCATCATGATGTAGCGACCTTTTTAGGAATGCGATGAAAGACGTTTCCGGGCACCACTGTTGTCAGATATTTCGTCTCTTGTTCCCCCAAAGGTATCCGAAACCGGCCCAACGATAAGGGCGAAGAAGGTGATACATTCTTCTCAGTAAGTAAGATCTTGGGTAAAATGCCGAAGCCAGTTGGTCAAGTGAAGAAAGATCTCCCGTCCTTCTGCTGTTTTTTTCCGTCACCACGAAAGAATACTTGGCGGTCAGATCCCCATCGCGAACACATAAAGAGGCGGGCAATACGTTGAAGAAAAAGCAACGGTCGAGTTTTCAGCAATGTTGATTGTGGTGTTCTAGGTCGATTCCACAGCCTCACGGTGACGAGGCTCAAGGTCGGACTAGAGCCGCAATCAGTCGAGTTTATGGGCAGGATACACCGTCGTGAGGTAGGCAGGACCAGGATTCAATCACGAAGATTTTATACAGTAGCTTTAGACTACCTAGCCCCCATTCCATGTCCATCCCACTCCCATTCTTCCGTCTTTACCCGCTTCTTTTTTTTTTTCAATATAATGCCCAATACCACCACGTTCATTCTCACTCCGCACCCCGATCTCTTCTCCTTGTGTCTCTCTCCCCTCGCTTCCTAACTAAATCATGAGAATGCTCTTGAGCAATCCAACCCCTCTCTTGCCCCTCGCATCTTCAGAAGTATGACTTCAGTGTACTCTCAGAACTTTTCCACCGCACCCCACTCATCCGATACACACTCGAGAAGAACAGCAAATACAGTTGCGCTGCCTGAACGAAAAGTGGCCAAAGAAAAAAAAAATACCTTGATGGGAACGGGGAAAAGAGATCTAGGCTTTCATCGGATCATGAACGGAATAGAAACAAAAGGAGGAAAACGAAAAAGTTAGAAAAATATGGAAGGGGTTGTCAGTATTGTGTACTGATCCCGTCCTCGAGTGTTTACTTTGTAGGGAGTGTGTGGAAGAACGTCTAGGTAAAAGAACTCGGCCATCGTTGCGAACGTCAATAAGAGCAAAGGAAAAAAGGGTGAGTAGAAGCAAGATGTATAGACGCTCAATAAACACAACGGATAGCCTCCCCCGATATTCATCCGCCGGTAAATCCAGTAAAAGCAGGCTCGGGGATTTTAATGATAAAACCCAGAAACGCCAGAAACACACAATGGCGACGTGAAGTGGACGGACGGAAATAGGCTGGAAAAGATGATAAAAGGTGGTAGAGACAGATTGTGAGGAACTTCTTGAATTCGAGAACAAAGCGAGGTTGTAGGAACCAGGGAGGAAACCACCCTTGCTGTCGACCGCTTCTCGCTCGCTCTCCACCAATTCCGTAGGAACTCGTCTCCTTATGTCCAAGATATGCTTGTAATCATACGTTGGAACAGGAGAAGTCAAGTAAAACCTCAAAAGGACAGCGAAAGTACCTCGCAACCCCATCCTCCAACAGTGTACCAATTCAACCCAGATCAAGAGCGCTCATTCCTATCAATACTATAATCATAGAGTTCAAACACCGCAAAGTTTTTTGTGGATTT